TATATACCTCCACCTGGCTGTGCATTTTGTCTTTAAGAATGCCACTGAGCTAGAGAGTAGAGGATAGCTCCCTTCTATTTAGATACTTTGCACCTGACTGAGCTATCATCAGGTTACTTCAGTCAAGCTCTGAGAGTTTTCCTGTGTCAATAGGTCAGTCACAATCCTGTCAGCCAGTCACTAGGTGGAGGGCACTGCCACTATTTTGCTCCCTCAGGAAGATCTTCAAGGAAAACTCTAAGTTCATATTAGCCTGGAGGCATTCTTTGAATGATCCCACCTGACATTTATGATATATTAGATTAAAAGTTACTGATCTGGGGGAACTGCAGTTTGGTATGTAAAATGAAAAAGAAAAAAGCTCTTTTAAAAATAAATTTTAAAAAAGTCACTGATCTGTGCCATTTAAAAACTAACTAGGTATTTTACATTTTTGTACTCTTAAGATATAAAGATAATATAAAAAGCTATGAAAGTAAATGCTGTTAACATGGAAAAAATAGACAGAGCTATTTTGCTAATTTTAAATCCTCTTATTATGTCCAAAGCCCATTGCGGAGTATAAGTTCCCAGGACTGATGAGTGCTTTAAATGAATGATTTAAATGAAAAACAAAATAAAACAGTGGCAAAAATATTTAATTACCCATTTAACTACTAAGTATTATTAGCATTCTTCATTAGTACTCTTTATTTTAAAAAGAACGTCTAAGACACTTTTATGTAAAACCATAATTTACACGTTCAAAAGCAAAATACAGATGTCAGCGAACACTGCAAATCTTATCTCTAGTATTCAAGATAGGAACGGAGACTACCAGTGTTCCTAATCTATGAGCAGATAAAAGGAAATACAAAATTAGTTGCCTGTGTTTCCTTTAAAACAAATTTATTTTTCCAACTTACTCATTGTTTAACTCTAACGCTTGATAGGCTGCTTTGATTCGAGCTGGAGGATTTCTTTCCCTCCATGCCTTCTGCATAACTGTGGGAAAAATATTTCAAAGAGTGGATGAGATGGTAAACATAAATAATCTTATGTAAAAACGTATGAAGAATGAGCTAAAAGAGTAAACAAAGCTTTAAATATCATGTTTTTAAACATATGAAACTGGGTTACTAGCTCACATTTACATGAGAAATTTATATTAAATCTGGAAACTATTCATATAATAAAAATATTCTATGATCTATTTTCATAACATATAAAGTACTTAACTGAATTAATCACATCACTTTTACACATGAACATTTATATATCTCAGTGCATGTCAAAACTGAGCTTGAGTGACACTAGATTACAATAGACATGAAAGTTCTACTTCCATCATTCTGAAAAGGGTCTATGGAACCACTAAAAACCACAAAAGCTAAAAAGTCTTTGTTTAATCAATAATTCAGTGCAGGAAAAATGTGTAGATGTGTATTTTCTATGAATCCTGGGAAGGAATTCTATGAAAACTGGGAAGGAAGACTGAGTTAATTTAGAATACAGCACATCTCTGGAAAACCTCAGCTTTATCAAAATGCAACACTAACCTGAGTTAGGATTTCTCTGGAAGAATGGGATGAATTTGCTACCATTTACTGAACCAAAATGAGGATATTACATTAGTTTATGTCTCCTAAAAGCTAAACACACACACACACACACACACACACACACACACACACACACACAAAGCATATTCTTGGAACTACCTGGCTTACTTTATATTTGATAAGAAAAATGGAGAACTTATGAATGTTGACTTTGGAACAAGACCTACAACTGTCCTGAAAGAATAACGTGGAAAATGTTTGAGTTTTCCTTTGGAAACAAAATATTAGTCTTGGCTCAGAAAATGAGACGATATATTCCACATGTGTAACAAAAATACATTTTTCATATCAAACATGTCACCAGCTAGCTGACATCTAATGCTTCCTGAACTTGACAAATTGATGCAAGCCAGCACTGCCTGATTCTGACCAGGTAAAGAACATTGATCTGCCACAACACTAAAACAGATCATAGAAACAGACTATAATATTAGGCTTGTAAACCTTTGATGATGGGACTCTCTTCTATAAACTGTATGGTACTTACAGACCAAAATTTAATGCTGAATCTTTACCAGCATTTGAGGTAATTATACAATATCTTAGTATATAATCATAATTTATTCTCTTCCAATGAAAAGTTATTTCCAGTGCTTTCCTACTATAAAAACATTGTAGACTATGCATAAGTTTATAACCCGAGATAGTGAGATCTTGGAAGGTGAAAGCAGGAGGATCCAGAGTTCAAGGCCATCTTTAGCTATACAGAGAGTTTGAGGCCAACCTGGGCTACATGAAACTATCTCAAAAACAAAAAATAGCAACAGAAAAACCATTGTGATAACAATCATTCAGCCAGTATGGTAGTGAAAACCTGTTATCTAGCATTCAGGAGGCTGAGGCAGGAGGATCACGATGAATTTGAGGCCAGCCAGGACTATATAGCAAGTACCAGGTTAGCCAGAGCTACAGAGCAAGACCCTGACTTAAACAAACAAGCAAAAGTGACTGGGAACAAAGTTTGATAGTTAAAAAAAAAAATCATGTAGCATGTGTGAGGTCTTATGCTTAGTCCTCAGTACTGCAATACAAAACAACAAAAACACAAAACAAACAAAAAATAATCTTTCAGATTCTGTCTTTGTATAGTTAACCAAATATTTCTTTGTTTAAAATTGGTACAGTCTTTAAAGGATTTTGGATATATACCCTCAAATTCCACTCAATAAAATTATTAATTTGTACTTCGAGCCAGCACAGGAAAGTGACCATTTCCCCAATCTTACCCTTCAAGCCAGGTTGAGCATTTCTATACAAAACTCCAAAATAGAAAGCATGAAACCAAGAGTGGAAAAATCAACACCTGACCTCATGGGATAGGCTGCAGTCCAAACCCAGGCACAATAAGAGGGGTATGGTGGCATATGTCTGTAATCCTAGAACTTGGGCGGTAGAGGCCAGTGTTGGCTACTTAAGGAGTTAAAGGCAGACTGGGCTATATAAACCCCTATCCCTAAAAATCAATAACAAAACAGGACAAAAGAAATTACTTTCCACCTATGTGTATAAGATATATATGAAACAAGAATTCTGAGTTCAGACTTGAATCCCATTCTCAAGATATATTGTTGTGCATATACAAATATCTCAAATATTAAAGAAAATCTAAAAGACATTCTAGTTCCCTAACATTTCAGAGAAGGGCTACTCAGTCTGTATTATCAATCTTGGTTAATTTAACACATGAAGACAATATCATTTGTAATTTCTTATTTCTACTGTTTCTTTTTGTTTTGTTTTTGTTTTTTGAGGCAGGGGTTTCTCTGTGCATCCTCAGCTGTCCTGGAACTAGCTCTGAAGACAAGGCTGGCCTCATAGATCAACCTGACTTTGTCTCCCGAGTGCTGGGATTAAAGATATGCACCACCACTGCCCAGTTTAACCTTTTTGGTTTTTTTGAGACAGGGTTTCTCTGTGTAGCTTTGCGCCTTTCCTGGAACTCACTCTGTAGCCCAGGCTGGCCTAGAACTCACAAAGATCTGCCTGACTCTGTCTCCCGAGTGCTGGGATTAAAGGTGTGCACCACCACCACCACCACCCAGCCCACTTTTTATTTCTAATGAGTCTATGTAATGCATCTGTAAGCATTGTTTTTTTATTCTTGTGTTTTCAAATCCTCTATCATTCCTGCCTTTCAAGATTGCTCTTCACAACCAAGGTATTCCTAAATCTAAAGTAAAAGGAAAATACACACTTAAAAAATTAATTAAAGGCCAGGCAGTGGTGGTTCACGTCTTTAATCCATACACTTGGAAAGAGGCAGAGGCGGGTAGATCTCTGTGAGTTTGAGGCCAGACTGTTCTACACATTGAGTTCCAGGACAGCCAAGGCTATTACACAGAAAAACCCTGTCTCAAAAAAGAAAAAAATAAAAATAAATAAAAATAAAAAAGCCCAAGGCCTAAGAATAATTTAAATCAAAATACTGACTTATTATTCAATACTGCTAAGAGCTCATGATTGGCTTAAAATAATTAAAACACACACACACACACACACACACACACACACACACACAATTCACTCAGAGTTATCTATTTTTCAATTAATATCTGCAATATTCTAATAAGCACAAAAGAGAACTGCACCTATCTGTGGGTCAAAGACTGCAGATGTAAATGTCTACAAAGTCCCAGAAGAACAAAGTACTAAGAGCACACACACTGTGTGAGCAGCAGAACAGCTGCTCATCCCTAGCTGACCACAGCCAGTGGACACGTAGGTCCACTCCCATGTTTTCCAACTTCCACCAAAGTACCAAGCTGGACATTAGTGGGAAATTTCTTGAGGGTTTTGGCTGTTTAGTATTTTGTTTTGCTCTCTGAGACAGAGTCCTCCAGTATTGCCCAGTACTCTGTCATCCTCCTACCTCAACCTCTTTAGCAGCTGGGACAACAGATATATACAGCTCAGCTAACATCTTGATTTCTAAATGTTCAAAGTGAAAACATATCATTCAAAGCACACTGCTACCCAGCTCTTGAGGGCATGTTTATTCTCAGACTTAAACCAACAAATCAATCAGATGAGAGCAAAATCTACTAATATAATGACTACTGATGACAATAAGTCAAGGGAAACGTCCCACATCTCACTTGTACATATTTGTCTTTTTTACTATCAAAAGCTATACTGATGTAAATCATTGCCTTTATGTCAGTGTCTGAAAGGATTGAAATGAAACTGACAGTTCATTCTGAATTCTCACTCAACAAAATCTACCTGTGAGTTCAGTATTTAACTAGATTACACACACCTCTAGAAGTACATAAAACTGTAAGAACCAAAATGATGCATGTGGTCTTAAGAAAATAGACGTCAAAAATGTATTAAAATCCACATGACTCCTCTCTAACTGATTTACCTGAAGAATGCTCCTCTGACTACTCTATCCATCCTTTCCTACCTAACCATAATTACTAACCCCTCTCCTTAGAGTGTGCTCCTCTCTAGCTTACAAAAGAAAGGCTTGCCTCTTAGCCACTCCAAATCTTCCTAGACTCAGTGTGCATGCACTGCTCAAAGCCTCTAGGTGCCAACAGAACAGTGCAGTATAGATTTGGGGCAGTCAGTTTGGGAGAAGGTGGTACGTACTTGTTTTTTTGTTTTTGAGGTAAAGTTAAAATTCTTCTGCCTCAGCCTTCCAAGTGTTAGGGTTACAGGCATGAACCATCAAGCCTGGCTGAGGACAGTCACCCTAAGTCAAGGCACCCGAAAATAAGGATTCCTGCCTTCTACTCCTTTCTTTGAGCATAGAACTCTGCAGTGAGGAACAGTATTCGTCCACATGGGGAATGCAGTTCTCTTGGTAGAGTGTTTGCCTAGGATGCACAAGCCCTGGATTCCACTCCAGCACCACATGGACTGGGTACAATCCTAGCACCCGGGTAAAGGCAGAAAGATCAGAAACTCAAGGACACCATCAGTATATAGGGAATTTGAAGCCACCAGCCTGAGCTACATGAGGATCTTTCAAAAATGAATGCTAACTAAATAGAATATTTGGCTCCTAAATGCTTTTCATTAAGGAGTGATAACCATTTTTATTAGTCCCATTAGTACCCCTCCACAACTATTTAAAAAAGTGAACTACTCCTCTGGAAGCTCCTTACAGGAAGTCAGAGTGCACTGGCAAGGAATAATAAAAACAGTGGGCTTCAGTCTGGCAAGGGACAAGCATTAGGCAAAGCTCAAAATTTCATCTTTCTTCTCAGTATCTTAATCCAGAGCTGGGTCTCACAGTCCTACAACCCCCGCAGAGGCAACAAGACCATGAGTTTAAGAACAACTTGGGCTATAGAGAAGACCCTACCTCACAAAATAAGCAAAACCCTGATACCTAAGAGAAACAGTAATGATGGAGATGCTGACATAGCTATCTGAACTGAAAAATGGAGAATGGAGTCAGATTTCCCTGTCAATATGATTTGATTCACTGGGCTGACAATGAAGACACCCAATTAGGACTTAAAGGGCATATTTTGAAGAGAGAAAAAAATAGCTAAGTACATAGATGCTAAAGATTTGGCAAGAATATAATTAAAATACATCATAACAGTGAGGTGTGGTGACACACTCCTTTAATCCCAGAACTTGGGAGGCAGAGACAGGAGGATCTCTGTGTGTTCAAGGCCAGCTTGTTCTACATATTGAGTCCTAAGACAGCCAGAGCTGCATAGTGAGACCTGTCTCAAAAACCAAAATAAATAGACAGACAGGTAGAAAGATAGATAGATAGATAGATAGATAGATAGATAGATAGATAGATAGATAGATAGATAGACAGACAGACAGACAGACAGACAGACAGACAGACAGACAGGAGATAGATGAATAAAAGAAGAAGCAATACATCACAGCATTCAAAATCTTATGGCCAAATGTAAAATAATTTTATATAAAATGGACATTGTGGGAGAGTTGCAAGAGTAGTAAAAGACTTTCAAGCATAACATAACAATAAAATCATATAAAGGTATAGAAGAGATAAGACCTCAAGAAGAAAGAAACTTCCACTGGCATATACTTGCAATTTCAAGCATGTGGGAGGCTGAGGCAGGAGGTTCTCAAATGTGAGTCAATCTAGACTATATAATAAGACCCATTCTCAAAAACAAAAACAAAAACGACTTATAAGGCTTACTACTGCTAAAGAGTGTTTGTTCCTATAGTTTTCAATGGAAAATGGTCGTTATCAAATTCTTAGATGCAATTCAGCGATAAAATATATGCTTGGCATGCAAGCATCTATCATGGCAGGCACACACATTGTAAAACCTGATTTTCATGGTATACATTCAAATAAAGGGAATAATGGTTTATTTTTTTAAATGTCTATATTTTCTAATATAACAAAAATTATATTGTCTGCAATTATTTAACCTTCTGATTTGAAGCTTTAAAATGTGTGAAAAGGTACACAGATTTTCAAAATTCTTTGGGGAACTGTTTGAACAGAAATGTTCTGAAGAGCTATCAGAGCTGTCCAAGAAGCTCGGGGATATTTGCAATTCAGTCTGTGAGAGGAAGAAATAAGATGACATTTGATTTCTACAGACACCTCAGCTCCTAACACAGTGCTGATGGTCCACTGCAGTTTTCCTTAACACATATACTTTTGCTGTGACCATAAACAGTAAAATTCATACATAAAGCAATTTTCTCCTACATTTGCAATTAGTTCAACTTGTAAACTTTGTCAAAGAGCCTTGATTTTCTCCCTGCCACTAACCCTACCATATTTTATTCAGCAACCATGTGACACAGTGAGCTCACTTCACTGCTTAAGGAACTGGCTTTTTCAGACCCTCACTGCTGATTTTCTTCTCTCGATGCAGCCAGCTGAAGCAGGAGTAGTGTAGTGGTCAAGAGCCGTAACCGAGTTTGAAGCCCACCTTATCATTTATTAGTGGTGCGTGGCACATGACTTCACCTCCCTTTGCTTCAGTTCCTATTTGTTTGTTTGGGTTTCAAAACAGTCTCACACTGTATGTAGCCCAGGCTGACCTAGAACTATATAGCCCAGGCTGGTCTGGAACTTCGGGCAATCCTCCTGGTTAAGCCTCCAAAGTGCTAGGATTACAGTCATAAACCATCATATTCAACTTAGTTTCTTCTTTTTTTTCTTTTTTAAGATTTATTTATTATGTATACAATGTTCTGCCTGCATGTATGCTTATAGGCCAGAAGAGGGCATTAAATCTCATTATGGATGGTTGTGAGCCACCATGTGGTTGCTGGGAATTGAACTCAGGACCCCTGGAAGAGCAGCCAGTGCTCTTAACCATTGAGCCATCTCTCCAGCCCTAGTCCTTCTTTTAAGAGGGGCACTGGTAATAGTTCTTATCTCATAGAGTGACTGGAAGAATCAAATCAGTATACATGCAGTCCATGTGTTAATTATTATTAATGAAATTACTTACATGTGTAATACAAATGCCATCCATCCATCTATTCATAATTGCATGAAAGAGTATATAGCATATACTATATTATAGGAGCTTCCAGAGAAGCATCTTAAAGAATGTGACTGGTGAGTCATCATACAGATAGAGCAAAGGCATTCAAAGTAGAGGACATTGGGGAGAACAGCCCTGTCTTTAGGTTACACACTCCTGCCACTTCCTGGTGCTAACTGTCAAACCCAGAGCTTCATAAATGCTGGGAAAGGCCCTACCACTCGGCTGTATCCCAGTCCCTTATAATACTCTGTTCTGTAGGGAACAGCTTAGAGAGGCCTATTAACTATCACTTTACATGAATCTTCATTTTTGAAAAAATATACCTTATGTTTCTTGTACATATCATTCCCCAAAGTTCATACTCTCTCTTTCTCTTTCTCTCTCTCTCTCTCTCTCTCTCTCTCTCTCTCTCTCTCTCTGTGTGTGTGTGTGTGTGTGTGTAAAGGTAGGAGGATAATCTTAGGTGTTGGTTCTCACCTTCCACGTTGTTTGTAATAGGGTCTAGTTATTCTAGCTGGCTCTTGAACTTCTGCAGATTCTCTCTCATCTCCCCATCAAAGCACAGGGATTATAGGCCTGTGTAGTACTGTGTCCAGCTTTACACAGATCTAGAGATCTGAACTCCTGTTATCAGACTTGCACAGAGAGCACTTTACCCACTAGTCTATCTCCCTAGTCGCTGCTCTATTGTCAGGTAATTGTTTCCCAGACCAAATCAATGTATACTATTTTCTGCTAGATTTAATCTGAAAATATTTTTGGTTTATTCATTCATTCATCCATCCATTCATTCATTTTCTTGGTTTTTCAAGACAGGGTTTCTCTGTGTAGCCCTGGCTGTCCTGGAACTAGCACTGTAGACCAGGTTGGTCTCAAACCAGAGATCCACCTGCCTTTGCCTCCCTAGTGCTGGGATTAAAGGCATGTGTCACCACCACCTAGCTCTGAAATTGTTTTAAGTAATAAAAAAAGCATAAAACATTTAAAATTATTTTTTGTTTGTTTGTTTTTTGACACAGGGTTTCTCTGTGTAGCTTTGTGCCTTTCCTGGAACTTGCTCTGTAGACCAGGCTGGCCTTGAACTCACAGAGATCAGCCTGCCTTTGCCTCCTGAGTGCTGGGATTAAAGGTGTGCACCATCACCCAGCTAAAACATTTAAAATTCTTATAAAAGTAGTACATTAGCTTAGTTTATAATCATAATTCACTTTAATCTGAATTTCTTATCTAAAATGTAAATAACTGCAAGCCAATTAACTATATATTATAATAAATAGCTTTAGAAACCACATGAAATAATTTTCACAATCACTGTCTGTAGCATGAACAGATACAATACATACCTGTGTCTGAAGGACGTAAAAAGTCTGTTTCACAGGTGAAAAAGGTCTGGTGATCCTGGGCAGACAAGTTCATGTCATAGTAAGTAAGTGGCTCTTTACCAGTCACCCAAGTGTATCTGTAGCAAACACAAGATGTTTTAATTGCTGCAACAGACACTTAAGTTCCAAAAATTAGTGACTACAAGTTCTATTTCAGGGTGTTTTTAAGGTTTATTATAGCAATAAGAGGTAAAAAAGTACTACTCAGGCTGAAGAGATAGCACAGAGGTTAAGAGCACTGACTGTTCTTCCAGAGGTCCTGAGTTCAATTCTCAATACCTACACGGTGGCTCATAACTGTCTATATAACTATAGTCCTAAGGGATCCAATGCCTTCTTCTGATGTGCAGATGCACATGCAGACAAAACATCCATATACATAAAATAAACACATCTTTAAAAAAAAGTACTACTCTATGGTTCAATAATTAAACGTTAAAAAAAATTGTTCATCCTGGCATGGCAGCTCATGCCTATGAGTTTGAGGCCAGCTTGAGCCACATAGTGAATTTCAAGATAGCCTCAGTTACAGAACGGAACCGGTCTCAAAAACAGAACAAACTAATAAATTATTCAGTAAAATATTCTAAAAACTAGATACTAAGCATAAATGTTTCTAATAGTAAAAAATTTCTCAAAAAGATTTATATGAAATGGGTACTATATAACATGGCTACAGGAGACCTTGTTTTAAAAGACAAAGGCTGGTCATGGTGGTGTATAACTTTAATACCAGCACTAGGGAGGCAGAAATAAGCATATTACTGTAAGTTCGAGGCCAGCCTGGTATATATATTGAGTTACAGAACAGTCAGGGGTATAAAGAGAGACCCTGTCTCAAAACAACAACAACAAAACAGAACAAACAAAAATGGACATAGTGAGTACATGCCCTTAATTGTAGCATTCAGCACTCTGCCATGGCAGAGGCAGATGGATCTCTGTGAATTCAAGGCCAACCTGGTCTATAAGAGTTCCAGGACAGCCAGGGCTGCATAGTGAGCCCCTGTCTCAAAAAACAACAAAAGCAGAAGAAAAAAAGGGGGGAAACATCCAAACACCTCTGTCATAGAAGAGAGCAGAAAAAAAATGTAAGCTCTGAACAATGGGGAGGAGGACTATGAAATGCTCTCTTAAGGGTATGACAAGGCCATGGCACTCATGAACTCAAAACTACAGTTGCCTGCATAAGACTGAGCCAATAAACGTTCAGTCATTGATGGGAGAGGGGTCATGGGCCTTCCCTGTCCCGGGGAGCTAATGGTAGTCCAGGACCATTGGAGGAGTGGAAGCCATTGTCTTCAGTGACAGCCACGGGTGACTTCCTCATGCTCCAGTGGTTAAATACAGTGGGTCACAAAAGAAAAACACATGGAAGTAGACTTAAGACTTGGTGGGAGGAAGAGGAGATTGGTGGGAGTGGGAAGAGGATAAGAGATGATGGAGGGATGAGTGTGACCAGAATATATCATATGTACACATGAAAATGTTAAAGAATAAATTTTAAAGAGCTGTTACTTCCTCCTCGGCTCACCCCTGGAGCTGAGGACCAAACCCAGGGCTGAGCTAAATCCCCAACCCCATGTTACTTCCTGTTATATTCAAAAAAGTAAATACAGTTAAGAAAATACCTACTCTTGAGGTAATCATTCACTCTAATACTGTCAGTATCTCCAGTTAGAAGAGCCTGTGGTATATTTATAAAGATAAGTATTCCACAGTACTTTTACTCTAAGACCAATACCATACTTACACTGAAAAGCAAAATGTCTTACCTCCTATATTCTGCTCCTCTAAAGAGGTTTAAAGGGTTTCTCCAGACCTTGCATTCTGAAAAACAAGAGCAAAAGTTAGTTTAATTAAATGCAGGTAAATCTTCACTCACCAACCCTTACTGTTGATCCTGTGCTCTAAATACAGTGCCAGCCACAGACAGCCCAAATATGAAAGAGGTACGTGTCACCCTTGCTCTCGGGAAACACAGAATCAAATCCAGTTATTGCTGTATTTCTGTTTCAATGGCATTTTGTTGGTAATTCAGTTACAACTCTTACTGTATAACCATGTAATTACAGTTGCTTTTCAGTTTCCTTTCTAAAACAGGATCTACTAAAACTTCATCCACTCTCATATTCCCAGATCCTATCACAGCTTTTGGAACTGACTTGCATAGCATGAGAATTAGTCATAGAAACAACCACCTGAACTATGTGACATGTAGAGATGTTTTATTCCAAGAGAAAAAAAAAAAAAGAAAGGTCAATCACAGAAGACTTTACAGAGGAAGTGACATTTGAACTGACATTAAAAGCCTCAAAGAGTAGGTTTGCAGACACAGACCATCCAGGCTGAGAAAGTACAGTTATACACTGGGCCTAGAGATGACGGCTCAGTGTGTAAAGTGTTTGCTGCACACGCATGAGGACCCGGGTGGGTCCCTATGACCTGACAAGAGCCCGATGAGGCAGCGCACCTCCGTAATCCCAGATGAGGCAGCGCACCTCTGTAATCCCACGCTAGGAAAGTGAAGACAGCAGATTCTGGAGCTTGGTAGAAAAATGATGAGCTCCAGATACATCATGGGACCCTGTCTCAAAAAATAACGTTTGGGACGCTGGAGAGATGACTTGGCACTTGTTGCTCTTTCAGAGAACCCTGGTTTGGTTCTCAAAACCCATGTGGTGACTGACAACCACTTATAACTCCATTTCCAGGGGATCTAATGACTTCTTATGATCTCCTGGGACACCAAGCACACACATGATATATAGACATATATGCAGGCAAAACACTCATACACATAAAACAATATAAGTAAATATAAAAAATAAGATCTATAGGTTGTTATACAAGCACATATGGGCACACACATGTACACACCTATGCATACACACACATACACACACACAAAAAAACAAACTACACAGTGGGTTTAGGGTAACACACAGAGTAAAGGTTAGAAGAAAGACTACAAAATAAAATAAGGAGAACTGGTCATGGAGGCTCACATCTGTAACCACATCACTAGAAATGTCTGTGTTTCTGACACACATCTCAAAACCCTCAGCCTCTAGACGGGCTTAGAGAGATGGTAGCCTTGTTGCTGTCTCTGAATAATCTCCCCTCTCTCTTCTTATAACAATCCTATTGGACGGAGAGTTCACCTTCGTGATGTCATTTTACCTTTACCCTCAGGTGTGTAACACAGAGCTCCTTCAAACTCAGCTAAGGATGACTTTCAACTCCTCATCCTTCTGCCTCAATTTCTCACGTGCTAGAATTATGAGTGTTTGACACTTTCTGCTTGGTGGTGCTGGGAATTGAAGCAGGGTCTTGTGCATGCTAGGAACCTCTGAATAGAGTAGGATGAGTTAAGAGAAGTGAGGGCTTTTCTTTTTCCCACTGAACGGAAGGTAGATATGATGGCTAAAACCAGAACAAGTGCCTTGAATCACAAGTTTAAAACTGCATCTGCTGGACATTGTGGTACGTCTCTTTAATCTCAGTACCCTGGAGGCAGAGGCAGAAGGATCTCTATGAGTTTGAGACCAGCCTAGACTATAGGGAGAGTGCCAGGCCAGCCAGGGCTACATAGTGAAACTCTGTCTCAATAAGTAAACAAACAAACAAATTGTGTCTGGAGATGACAGGCTATAAAAATAGAAGGGGTCTGAGACCAATGATAACTGCTCTCTATACCAGCCATGGGTTGCCTACATTTACAGGAAAGACAAAGATGTTTCTGTGTTTTATTCTATTTGGACTACTATGACAAAATACCACAAACTGAGTACCGTAAGAACAACAGAATATTATCCCTTATAGTTTTGGAGGCTGGGAAATCCATGCTCAAGGTGCTGGAAGATTTAGTGTGTAGTAAAAACTCACTTTCTGGTTTGTGAATGGCATTCTCTTGTTATTTCCTCATAAAGTGACAGGAGTAAGTAGCTCTCTGGGGTCTCTTTCCTTAGGACACTAATTCTCTCCATGACAGTTCCACCTTCATGATGTGACACCTCCCAAAGCCCCTGTCTCCTAACATTACGTGAGAAAGGGGCATAAACACACAAACTACTGCCTTCTGTTGTTTAGAGACTGATCCTCTGCAAGCGAAATCAATCTTAATTACATAGCACTGAAAACACCAAAAAAGAAATCACCTGATAGATGGTGGTGTCTCAGGGTTTCACTTTCTCTGTTGCCGGCAGGAGAACCGGGCTCTGAAATGCTACTCTCTGTTCCTCCCATCAGTGGTCGCAAATGGCTTATAGACACTTGCTCAATAAAAGATGTGCCATGCTTATGGAAGTACCACCATTCAAATATCTATAACAAAGAGAAACATCTTTCATTTAAAATGCAATTCATAAGTAGAAATTAAAGAGATGTTCCTACTCAGTTCAGCACTTTAAATGCATAATCTCTCCTTGAGTGGGTGAGGGAGTGAGCAGAAGAAAAAACCCAAATCCAAGATTTCCTAAACACATATGCCACATAAAAGTAAAATACCTTTCTTATGGGTTTATCATAACGCTCAGACAAGCTTAGGCAACACTCCACACTGGTTAAAAGACATTAAAGAATAATAAGAGTGAGTAAGGCGTGATAGCGCATACCTTTAATCCCAACTCTTAGAAGACAAAGGCAAGAGGACCATAAAGTCCAGACCAGTATAGGCTACCTACACAGTGGGAAGTTTCAATAAAGTAAGAAGAGTATCTAATCTACAATGTAATTCTTCATGTGTTACTATCATTTGATTTTATCTGCAGCTTTCAAAACCACTTTAAAGCAATTAGTACTAAAGTAGGATCAAACTTTCAAGGTGCATACCAAATCCACTGTTTACTGTGTAAACTGGGCAAGTCAATTAGTCTCTAAAATCTCAGAGCCTCAGCTTCCCCACCTAGTAAATTTAACTAACAAGAATCCTAAGAAAGAGCTTTCTGAGCCAAAAACTATTGGTCTAATGTTTAGCAATGCTATTATTATTGGTTGAGACAAATTCTTCCCCAGGTTGAGCTATTTAAAAATCAGGATATTTACTTCATTGTATTTCTGTGGCTTCTCATTCACAAATAGAAAAACTCCTTGTGTTTTGAGACTTTATCTCAAAGATTTACAAAAGGTCAAAGAAATACTATGATTTCTACTAAAGCTGCAGAGCACCACCTACAGATGAGAAAAAAGAACAGGAAAAACGACATAATAAATATTTCATACTTTTATCTGTAGCAGAATTTTTCCAAAGCATAAAATGAGAAACACTAGACCTTAGAGATGTTAATGAATAACATATTTTACAATATTTTTAAAATTAAAAGTAATATCTTGCTGAAGCAAAAGATGAGTTAAAGTCAAAGGACATCCCTTACTGTGCAGCTTCTCAGAATAACAGCCAAAACGCAGTAGATGCCTCCTACGTTACAAATCCCACGTTACAAACGTTGACATGTAATTATCTCATTTAGTTCCTACAGTCCTGCGAAATGAGTACTATCATTTTCCCATCTACAGAGATGAAGCTGGGGCTTAGAAGAAGTGAAGGCTAAATTCCAGACATGTCATAGTCTGTTTAGAGATGCCTCCGCTGTTAAGAGCACTGACTGCCCTTCCAGAGGACCAGGGTTCAATTCCCAGCACCCACATGGTACTCAAACTATCTGTGGCTCTGGTTATAGAGTATCCAACACCATCCTCTGTAGGCACTGCATATACATGAAGTACAATCATACAGACAGGAAAAATATCCATATACACAAAAATAAATATTTTTTAAAGTTATAGTCTGCCCAATGCTGTCAAAATTAAAACGTTGCAAGATTTTACATAAAACGTGTATAATCAAGGGCTGGAAGCATAGTTCAATTGTAAAGTGCTTGCCTAAATTCCAGGCCCAGCACTGCATAAACTGGACATGATGGTGTATACTTGTACAGGAAAAGGAAGAGAACCGAGATGTCAAGGCCACCCTGGACTACAGAATGAGTTCAAGTTAACTAGGTTATAAGAGAGCCTATTTCTAAAGTAAATAAATTCTGACACTCAGATTCTCTTGAAACCATTTGAAAAATTGAAAATTTCAGTAACAGTAGTTGTAGAATAACCTATTTCATTAATTCCAGTATGAAAGATGGATATTTACATATTTATGAATGTGTATGAACATGTGTGTGGAGGTCAGGAATCTCTCCAATCACTCTCTACCTTACTTTCTCAGATAAGGTCTCTCATTAACTCTGGAGGTCACTCATTTGGCTAGTTTAGCTGGCCAGCAAGCTCCAGGGACCCTCTGGTCTCTGCCTCCTCAGGCCTGGGACTACAGGTATGCAATCATTCCCAACTTTCTATGTGAGTGCTGGGGATCTGAACTCAGATCTTCATGTTTCCAAGGCAAGCATTTTACTGACTAAGCCATCTCCCCAGTCCCTCATTCATTTTGAAATAATAATCATCTTCTTCTTCTTCTTCTTCTTCTTCTTCTTCTTCTTCTTCTTCTTCTTCTTCTTCTTCTTCTTCTTCTTCTTCTTTTTTTTTTTTTTTGAGACAGGATTTCTCTGTGTAGCCCCAGCTGTCCTGGATCTCACTTTGTAGACCAGGCTGGCCTTGAATTCACTAAGATCCACCTGCCTCTGCCTCCGGAGTTCTGGGATTAAAGGCATTCCCACTGCCCAGCTGAAATAATAAATGTTCTAATCCTTCTCCACCAACCCTCCCCTGATTATAGTATACAGGTCTTTTTTTTTTTTTTAATTACTACACTTGTGTGTGCATGCCTGCATGTAGAAGCGTGCATGCACACATGAGTGGCAGCCAGAGGACAGCGCAGGCCGTCAGTCAGGCCTGGCAGCAAGCACCTTTCCCTGCTGAGCCATCTGCCATCCCCAATACAAACTTTTAAATGAAGTTGGGCATGGTAATTCATCCCTGTAATCCCAGCACTCAGGAGGTAGAGGCAGGACAACCACCTTGGGTTCAAGGCCAGCTTAGGCTACATAATGAGACCCTGTCTCAAAAAGAAACCTAATATATAATCAATACTACCACATTCATAAAAGAAGAGAGGGAAGTGTGGTATTTCTCAAAATTGTTTCTCTAGGTAACTCTTTCTAAATATCAAACACATTTTGGAAATCCTGGCAAATACTTATAAATTTGTAAAAACATAAACAATCTTTAAATAAATAAGCATCAAAATAGAAATGAAGAAAATGGAAACTACTTACAAATATTAGTCCAGATATCAAAGAAGATGTCCCTGTAAGTGCCACATAGAACTTGGGTGTCAACGAACTTAAAAACCCTGTCACTGTTAAAAGAGAAAACGGCACAGGTTTTACAAGGTATAATTTAAAGCCCATTACAGTCATCTTTAGATGGAGGGAGTAGGTGAGCAGCACAGATGCCTGATTTTGGTGAGGCTATGTCCAAACAAGCCTATAAATTGAAAATATTGCAAGGAAAAAAATGTACATTACAGCTCTAATTTTCCAAATGTCATAGCTTAGCAGCACAATACCTTGGATAGCATTGGTTATTTACTTCCCACGTCATATGAATGGTGAGTGGAACCAGTGGCTTACTGATGCTGTCCAGCATCATAGAGATCATGTTGCTAGTTCGGAAAAATATCAAAATTCAAAATTTCTACTGAATGCAAACAGCTTTTCCACTATTGCAAAGCTCAAAATTCCTAAGCTGACTGCCCTAAGTCAATAACTGTTTATATTAATATCTGAAGTGAAATTCATTTGAAAAGTTATAAAAACAAATGGCATACATTTTTAAAAGTGACTTTAAATCCCTATTGTTTCATATCTTAAGAATCTTTTCATATATATAAAAGTGGGATTCCACACTGTTGTAGTTAAATAAGAAGTAAATCATAATGAGGCTTTGCATATACAAGGCCCTAGGATCAATTTCTGGGGTCAATAAAAGAACAAAAGCCAGGCGGTGGTGGTGGTGCATTCCCTTAATCCCGTTTCTCTGTGAGTTCAAAGCCAGCCTGGTCTACAAAGTAAGTTCCAGAACAGCCAGGGCTACACAGAGAAACCCTGTCTCAAAAAACAAAACAACAACAACAAAAAAAAGAACAACAAAAATCAAAATGAGATCATACAGCCTGCTTTTCTAAACACCTAAACACACGCCATAATTTACACTAGGACTTTGGTAAATATATAAAGATAAAAAATTAAACATACTTTTAAAAAGTGGTCTAATACTGTAGTCCAGGCTGGTCTCAAACTCACTATGTAGCTGAGGATAACCTTGAACGACTGATAATCCTGTATCTACCTCCCAAGTGTTGGGATCACAGGCTTGCATCAGCATTCCTGGTTTATTGGTGCTGAGGACTGAACCCAGGGCTTCCTGCATGCTAGGGAAACACTCTACCAAATGAGCTACATCTCCAGCCCCAATTTTGAGTTTTAAAAGAAACAACAACAAAAAAAAAAATCTGTAATAATCAACTCTCATCTAAACGGTATATGTAGTTAAAGATATAGACAATGAAACCAGAGTTAGCAGGTTTGGGAGTTCAAGCCTGCAATTATAGCATTCTGGAAGCTGAGGCGGGAAGGCCTCCAGCTTGAGGCTATCCTGGACTATACAGAGAGACAATGTATAAAATAAAATTTTAAAGCCAGGCTAGATAATATAAGCCTCTAATTCCACCACTTAAAAAGTGGTGCTCAAAGGATCAGGAGCACCTGATCCTGGCCTCAAAGCAACAACAATAATAATAAGTAGAAAAATAAACAACAAAATCAATGAATAGCATTAAAAATTTTTTTTTTCTTTAGCAGTCAAGTTCCCCACATTTGGGGAAATTGCAGGGATCAGCACATCAGGAGTGCAATGGATAAGCCTCGCCCTGGGAAAACTACCTTAGTGATCATGGTATCTCCCCTGTCAGGTATTTGAATAGCATTTTAACGAGCATACAAACTACCATTAAGCACTTTATCCACCCGTTACAGACAAATTAGATAGGTACATGGTACCTATCTGCTAAAATATTTAAAGCTTTTCAGAACATTATCCCACAGTCATGTCATCTCATGGAATAGAAAAGGGAGACAACTGCCTTCTCACCGGATAGAAAAATTTAATAGAGTCACCATGTAACAGAAATACTTCCATCTTCTTCTGCGACTGCAGAAAGAAATACTGCAATAACGCCATAAAAGGCCCAGGACCACATCCTTTCATCCTGCTTATGGCTAAGGAACAGCATTTGCAGAATCTGCATGGATCAACACTGCTTACAAGTCTGCCTTTAGCCCAGGCTACATAACAAACATTGTACCAATACTGAAAGAACATAATAAACAAACCCACTGTTGTTTGTGCTTCTCTTCCCGCTCCCCTTCCTGTACAATTTTATTACTTATTGATAAAGTCTGAAGGATAAAAACCACGAAAAAACGTTTAACAGAACTATCTTACAATGAAAGTACGGTCCGCTAAAATCATAGTACTTTCTATCTTGTATTACTGATGTGCTGATTTTCTGGGTGTGGGTTCTTTCTCTAAGTTAGGCAGCTGGAGACTCAAAGGCACGATTTTAAAGGGGCCCTGGAAACGCTAAGAATGAATATAAATTGTGTGTCCGTATCTGGGAACGCTCTCTTCTGTCTTACTACCTGAAGCTTGCAGCTTGTCAGGTAGCTTTTCCTGCGGTAAGGTAGACCGAACAGAGAAGGGCCAACCTTCAGAGCTCTAGGGAGGGGCCGGCAAACTGCAGCACAGGTTTGACAATCAGCTGCCCGGTTGTCGTGGCCCGAGAAGGGAAAAAATAAAAAAATAAATAAATAAAAACAACCCACTGGAGCATGCAACACCGATTCCTTCTCCAAAGCCCTCCATGACTCCCCGAGAATCTCTGATCTTTGGTGCTCGTCCCCGACCGTCCGGAAGGTTTGGGCCTCTCACCCGCTGTCACGTTGTCACACAGCCTCAGCGGGACCCTCAAAGCGTAAAGCAGCCCCAGCCCCGCCAGGAACCACAGCGTGGACCCAGAGTTCGCCAGCCCGGCCTTCAGCCGTTCTTTCCAGCCCAGCGGCGGGCCCAGGCCCAAGCCGGGAACAGGTGCATGGGGACACCCCACAGCCCGCGCGGCTTCCGCGAAGTATTCCCCGTCCGCCATCTTGCGGCTCCGGCAGGCGCCGGGACCTGGGAGGGGAGAAGGGCAGGAAACCCGGAGTTGGGAATCCTGGGATAGTGGCGGACTTGAAGCCGGCCTCTGTCAAGGCTTGAGTCCTGGGGAGCAGGACCGAGATCAGGAAGGCGACGGAGCGCGTCCCCGGACTGAGGGGCTACCCAGTCCTCTAGGAGGACGGGGAAGGAAGGATCCGATTGGTGGCACTTGTTCCGCAGGGCACGGACTCAATGTGGCGCTGGAGGGAAGCGGTTTGGGTGCCATGCGAGATTGAGGGTCACCCTTCGCCCCGGTCTGGGGCTGGGGAAGTGCTGTTGTTTCCTAGGGCCGAGCAGCTCTTAGCGCACTGGACTCGGCTGCCTCGCGGACCAGCGGGACCAGGGAAACTCCTGGGTGTGGCAGCAACTGCTGCTCGATCGGAGGGAGCCCGGGCGACACGGGCAGTCGGGATTGGCCCCCGGGCTTCCAGGACGAATCGGGGAAATGACCGAAACTCAGGGAGGAACTGGCTAAGACTCCAGGGCCTCGAGGGCAGAGCCGACTTCCTAGCGCGCTGCCACTCCAGGCCGTCCCGCCCGCGCGGAACTGACATGGCGCCCTCTTGGCCGGAGCTTCCGGGCGGGTCCTTCCGACGGCCCCCTTGGTGATTCCACCACTCAGCTTCCTTCCCGGCCTGCCTCGCGCCGGTCGCCGGGCTGGGCCAGAGCAGCCAAGATGGCCGACTTCGAGGATCGGGTGTCGGATGAGGAGAAGGTAAGGGGTCCGCCTCTCCCTTTTACCTCCTCCCCCGACGGGTCCGAGGGGTCCGAGCCGGCAGCAGCGGGGAGTCTGGCGGTGTCCCCAGGAAAAAGAAGGTCGTTTCCCGGTGCCGGCATACTCCCTCCGCACCCGGGACGCCTCCCTCCTTCAAGGGGCTTTCCTTTGCCTCACGGTGGCCCCAGTTCCCCATTCCTCAACTCTTCTTTTCATTCCGGACCGAGCCCAGCCCTTCTTAAAAAGGGGAGACACTTCGCCTGATTGACTTTTAGCCGTAGACTCTTTTTGTAATTTAAAGGGAGGAGGTGAAGGTGATGTTGGGACGTGTCGTGCAGCGGTTATTTTACCGCCTTTGGCTGTTGGGGCTCACCCCCTCTCCCCATCTATAGGTATGATTTGGGGTTGGTTTGGGACGAGTCACTTCCTGATCAGAGTAGCCTTCTTAACTTCCCCCTTGCTCCTCCTTCCTCAGGAAGTGATTTTGCTGTCACGACTCCTGGACAGGGAGAGGTCCTCTGGGTTGCCTGTCCACCTACCTACACACCCTGGTCTTTCCTCAGCTAGTGACGGTCGAACTAGTTCGATAAAAATGAATCTGTAAACCTCAGGCATTTGCTTAAGAGTTTGACCAGCACTTTTGTTCCTGCTGCTGCCTTGTGTGCACGTACGGCCCCAAGGTGACTCCATCCCTTCTGTTTGTCTTCACCGTAACTATAATTTTTTTATCAGAGTAGTTTTTGGCTTCCTGTTAAACGGTGAGGAATAGCCAGTACACTTTTTTTTTTCCAACTCCAGAAAAGTTTGGTAGTAAATAACCTCACATTAACACATTCAGTTTAAATGAAACACCCAACCCTTTTTGATGACCTGCCGTAGTGTTTGGTAGCTGGATTTGTCAGAACGCAGTCTGTGTGCTTAGATCTTTAAAGGTGGTTTAAATGACAAGGATGCCATATAAATTAAATGGAATAACTTTTTCTGACAACAGCATACATTTACTAAACCGTTTGCCCCAAAAAGAAAGAAGTGTCCGGCTCTTCAGTAAACACAGCGTTCTAGGGTTGGTAGAAGTTAGAATGGCCTCACTAGATAACCCCTTATGGGACAAGAATATATCTTTTCTTTCCTGCAGCGACTATTACAAAATGTGTATCCTCCAGTGTTCTATAAAATCTGCCCGGGTTCTTATAGTAGTGAAAATATTGGAGGTTGTTGCGGGGAACAGACTATTTTTGGCCACTTCTTCATAAAGAATAATTTAATGTATACCTGTGTATGTATGGGCCACCATTTTTAAATGCTGAAAAAGATGCTTAACACCTTTACAAACCACTTAACAGGGTCCAGGATGGCAGTTTGTTGGTAGAGCACTTAACACATGCAGTGTCCTATGTTTGAACTTCAGCATCAGCACCACAGAAAATAAAAAGCGAACAAATAACACATCAACGTTGTTTTCTCTTATTTGGAGATTGAGCATCGTAAATGTTAACAACCTAGGAAACAAAAAGACATCTCAGCTAACACTGGAAAGAAAACTATAACAAGATGTTTATTCTAAGACAAATACTTATGGTTCACATAATGTCAAGTTAGAGTGAAATTATATTCTCTTTCTTGAGGCTGAGTCTTGTGTGGCTCATGTAAGCCTCCAACTCACTAGATAGCCAAGTCTGACCCGCACCCCTAATCTGCTTATCTCCACCTCTCGAGTACTGCTGTTATAGGTATATGCCATCACACTTAGATTTGCTTACTTTTTATAATGATAGAACAAGCAAATCATAATTAGTAAACCTGTCCCAGAAGTAACCATGAATTTTATTCCTGTTTTAGTAAAGAGCTTGTTTTGTTTTGTATTTTTGGGACAGAGTCTTGCTATGTAGCCCTAGTTGGTCTGAAACTTGCTGTGTAGACTGGACTGGGCTCCAATTTGTCCTCCAGCTTCTGCCTTCCATGTGCTGAGATTATAGCCAAACCCCACAATGCTGGGTTTAATAGAATCCTTTTTTTTTTTTTTTTTTTAAACTGACTACATTGTCTTTATTGGTGTAGATAATGAAGTGTAATGATATAGTAAAAATCCTTCTGCTTTGAGCCAGGAGGCAGAGGCTAGTGGATCTCTGAGTTCTAGGCCTACGTAGAGAGACCCTTATGATCTGAGGGTCCTGTAGTTTTACTGGGTTCCTTTCCCCAGAGTTGGCAGACACATACCTCTCTAAATCTATGAGTAGAAAGAAAGGGCTTGGTAAGACTTCCTGATTTGGGGGCAGGAGGGGGGGGCTTCTTACCTTCTTGGCCTGCTTTTCCTTATAACTTTCTGATTTATTTTATCTGAATTCAAAAATTGAGAAAAGATAGGAAGAAAGGCTGCGCCTGATGGTGCCTGTCTGTAATAATCCCAGCTCTTGGGAGGTAAAGACAAAGAGGATTAGGAATTCAAGTTTATCCTTGGTAACAGGGAATTTAAGACCAGCTTCAGCTACATGAATGAGACCCTTTCTCAAAAAAATAAAAGTTATTTTGAGAAAAGATTTTTCCAAGGTATTTAATGATTTGAATGTCTTGGGATTCATAAACAAGTAACCCTTGCTGAGATTTTTGTCCTAATCATTTATTTGTTTACTTAGTTGGGTTTTTTTTGTTTTTGTTTTGTTTTTTGTTTTTTTCCTCTGAGATGGTCCAAATTCTGTAGCCCAAGCTAATCTGGAACTCATTTATAGCCCAGACTCATGATGATCCTCTGTCTTGAGATTCTTGGTGTTAGGCTTAGAGTCATGAGCTGCCATGCCCAGATGTACAGACTAATTTTAAAAATCAAGATAAAAGATATTCTTAATCTTTCCCGGCCTGGTAGCCCAAACCGGTAACCCCAGCAGCTGCTTAGGAAGCTGAGGCAAGAGGATAGAAACATTTAAGGTCTGTTCAGGCTACAAAGCAAGCTGAAGCACAGCTTTGAAAACTTGATGAGACTGTCTCAAAAATGAAGTGAAAAAAGGAAAATAGGGGATGTGAGATGGGTTGAATATATAGGTCAGTGGTAGAGCAAGCACTTGCCCAGCATCTGCAAAGGCCCTAGGTAGGACCAATCTCTTCTTTAAGGAAATTCAGAATTCAAGACTTCAAGTGCATTTCATTTGGGATGGGTATGTTTTGTTTTTGTTGTTCTCTTTTGTTTTAAGTGTGTCTGTTGTGGTGCCAAAAGGAATAATTTAATATTCTTTTTTTATCATCATTATGCTTTCTGAAAGCAGTAAACCATTTCATAATCTATAAGTTTGGCACTTGGGGTCTCTGATTTTCTTTCTTTCGAGCATTTCTTTAAAAGCAAGTACAATCATTTTTATAACCGGCTGCCAAAGCTTTTTATCACTTTTAAAGAGGAAGTTGGTTTTTTTCACATCTGCGTTGTTACCTGAAATGGTCAGAATGAGCAGTCTAAAGAAAGCAGGAAGTGAGAAGTGTAGTAATAGGCTGATAAATGCTTCTAGTCTTATCCTGGAGCTGAGTTTCTGGAGAGACTATTCTAGGTACTACTTATACTCTTCAGTTAACTTAGTTTTAAAAGCTTACTAAGACCAGATGCCCTAATTACAAAGTTTGAGGTGTGCCGTGGATTACTTTTTTGAGTTCTCTGCCCTATCTGTTTTTTTTATTCATGATTCAGCATTGGTTTGTTGGTTTTTTCTTTTGATGTTCTTCCCCCACCACACACACACACACACACACACACACACACACACACACACACACACCGCAACAATGTGAAGAGAATTCTAGAACTAAAAAAAAAGTTATTAGTGTGGTTTTCCTTTTAACATAATGAGTAAAATATGTGCATACACCTTAAAAATACTGAGAAGTGGATCTGTATACTTTTTTTGGGGGGGGGGTTTGAGACAGGGTTTCTCTGTGTAGCTTTGCGCCTTTCCTGGAACTCACTTGGTAGCCCAGGCTGGCCTCGAACTCACAGAGATCCGCCTGGCTCTGCCTCCCGAGTGCTGGGATTAAAGGCGTGCGCCACCAACGCCAAGCGGACCTGTATACTTTTAATTTAGACAGTGGTGTCCTTTGTAAGGGTTTGTTTGGTTTTTGTTTGTTTGTTCCATTGGATGTTTGGGTGTCGAAATAGTCTCATTCTGTAGCTAAGGTTGTCCTCACATCTCGGGGGACTCCTCTTTCAGCTTCCTGGGGTGCTGGGGTTACAAGTATGAGGTTTTCACACCCGTTAAGGCATTTGTTTTTTAAAGCTTTTTTTTTTGTTTGCTTGCTTTTAAGAAAAAGGTCCCTTTAATCCCAGCACTTGGGAGGCAGAGAGCCAAGCAGATCTCTGTGAGTTCGAGGCCAGCGTGGTCTACAGAGATCCAGGATAGGCACCAAAACTACACAGAAAAACCCTGTCTCGAAAAACAAAAACAAAAAAAAAGAAAAAAAGAAAAAAGAAAAAGGTCAGGGGGTGGCTGCTAACAGTCTGTGAAAGTACCAGTAAGCCACGAAGCCACGTGGCTAGATGTAGAATAATAGGAATGGGTTGAATTAAGTTATAAGAGCTAGTTAATAATGTGCCAGAGCCATAGGCCACACAGTTTGTAATTAATATTAAGCCTCTGAATGATTATAAGTAGCTGTGGGACCTCGGGGCCAGGTGGGACTGGAGAAATTTCCAACTACATATTAGTACATAGCTCAGGCTAGCCTGGAATTGGATATGTAACCAAGGCTGGCCTTGAACTGTCTCAACCTCCAGAATGCTGCTGGGATTACAGGTATAAACCATTGTGCCCAGCTATAAAAGCTGCTGCTTCTTTCTCCTCCTCATTCTTCTTTCTTCTAGAAACAGGTTAATCAAACTGGTTTAGTAGAGACGTAAAAAATATACATAGGGCCAGTGAGAGATGGCTCAGTGGGTAAAGGTGCTTGTTGGGCAAAGCTGGTAACCTGAGTGCACTATCTGGACACATGTAAAGGTGAAGGGAAAGAAATGACCTCGCAGAGTT